AAAAAAAAAAAAAACGAAAAAAGAGAAAGAATAAATTAAAAACGATCAAATAAACGATCCTTCTCAATCACGATTTATTGCCCAGTTTGGCAAATAGTTGGACAGGGAATGGAAATAGATTTGCCCAGTCTTTTTTCAATTTTCTTGACTTACCCATGACAAAGGTCTAGTGGTATATACAATGACTTTTCTATTATCGTCATTATCACTGTGCTGCTCATAGCATACCGTCCTTTTTGGATGTTTCTCATCCACATCATTCAAAGGCCAAAGTACGGAAGCTCATTTTCGTTATGAACAAGCAAACAAGATAAATAAATAAGCAAAATTCATTCATTATTGATTCGTGCAGATAATGGAATGCTGAGAGAAAATACCTTTGAAAAGCAGCTGGTGAAAAAAGGAAGTAGGGAAATCAATTAATCGATCAATCAACCAACCAAGAAGCAAGCTAGCAAATAATAATCGCCCCATGTAAGGGAATCCGGACCTATGGTGGATTCCTGATTCCAAGCACATAGGATGCCCGTTTTTCAGCATCCTGCTTATCCCTTTGCAGTTGGACAACCTTTTGTGTCAGTTCCTTATTCCCTAGCAGCGAATGCTTCGTAAATTTTAGGTTACTCAACTTTTGATTTCGATTTGAAAAGCTTTTTTTCAAATTAGTGCACTCACTGCACTTACCCTCGACCACCAACAACTTACACTTTCGAGACATGAAATGACGATTGCCATTTACACATACAACTCGACATAAAGGATGGTCTTGGTTTCGGACAACATTTGTGTTACTCTCAGTTTCTTCAACACCATGGCAAACGTCACACTTAGAAAGGTATCCTAGTAAAAACAACAGATTTCCTAAGGCAAATTCATTTCCTTTTTGAATAGAACCATACGCTGTTTTCATTTCGAATGCGAGGGCAAAGGGATTAATTTACAGTTGAAGTGCAAGTTCGTTTCCATCGAAGTAAACTCCATATAATCTTGTAAAAAATAGAAGTGGAGGGTTTTCAGTCTTTTCACGCAGCAACCAACCGTTGTAAACGGCGCCTGTTTGCATTTCCTTCCATTCCTCACTAGAATCTGGTTTTGATTTACGTTTTCCAATATTTATGAATATTGTGATTCTTTTGCCATTCCTCTCAAGCTTAAATGACTTTGCATCGCCCGCGACGTTCCTGACGAGAGAATCATTATCTTTTTTATCAAGTTCGAAATTCAGGTTTTATTTCTCTCTCCTAAAGTCTTCCATTACTTCATCCAAACTTAGGGTAATTCCTAAGCTATGCACGTACTTGGTATTAAACTATGCGTAAATTGAATTATGAGAATGCTTCTCAGTTTCTTAAGGAAATTTTGTTTCAATCATGAATAATAATTACCGAATATGACTTACCAATATATCCTTTCGTGTTGTGTGGAAAACCTCTTCGCTTTTGGCTCCATATTCTTAATTAGTTATTCTTACATCTGTTGTTTTCTATTCGAAAAGTTTAAATTCATATACTATAAAACGTACCTTGCTAGTCCAATTTGTGAGTACACAACTGAACATGGATTTTTAAATTTTAAACTTCCTTGGTCCCTGTCTGTGATTGGCTCAAATTCTTTTCCGTTGGAGCGAAAACGCAAATTCTCCTCTCCCTGGTAGACAGCGTAATCGATGCGGCTGATTGGCTGATTCAAACTAGGCTGCATATTTCGAATTTCTTCCGTCTCGAGTGAGTCCTCTATCCTTTTACCGTGGCGAAAAAGGTCGAAAATCCAGCCTTTTCAGATAGAAAGAATTTGTCTATGAGCGTGAAACTCTGCTGAGGTATAGCTTAGGATCTCTTCGATCGTGCCGTGGTATTTTTTTGTGTGAGATTTTTCTTGAATTTGAATTCTGATGGGCTAGATCGAGCAGCGGTTGAGTTTTGTTGCCTGCCTTCACCCTTTCTTGCCCTTTCACACACACACATAGCTCACGCCAAACGCCAAAAACTGGCCTTAAAACGCATCGGAYGAAGAAATAACACACAAAGTTCATGAAGTGAATGACTAAACTTTATTTTGACGACATTTAATTCTTAGGAAGTTTTCAGAAGATKTATTTTTGAGAAGCTGAAATCACTCGATAACTCAAAATTTTATTAACGGGCGAACGCCACAAGAGACCACAGGGAGCCCACACATCCGAAACCACAAATACTTCGGATGGTAAGCCTGTGATTGAAGTTTTGAGAATTGTAAATGGTGGCTAATAAAGCAACCTTATGGTATTGTCACACAATCTATACCCTATCTATACMCTATGCAAGTCACATCCAATTCTTGTTTAGGAATTCTTTGTTGGTTAATGCCAAACCAGCATATTTTATAAATACATATATTAAAGTTATTCAGCTAGCTAGTTCTCCACACTTTTTGCACATTTTGATGTCTTTAAAAACCCTTTACATGGCTGGCCATTTATGTTTTTTTTACATATTCTCTCATTTTTCTTGAAATCAAATGGGACAGTTGTCAAGGTGGCTTGGTGCTCCCTCCACTTCATTCTGGCATTGTCCATGTKGTTTCTTACTGTTTAGAACTGGCGGTCTATGGCAGTCATGTCTTTGTGTAATGATTTGGCGTGTCAGCACACAAAAGTGGGCGTGGTAGAGACATGCATTTTTAATGACCTTTCACAGTTCGATGAGCAGCAGTAAGGGGGACTCGCGAAATCCAAGTTACTARGCATTGAATTTCACGGGTATTACCTGCGTTTCAAGCCCCTCTAAATGTATGCGTCCGCAGCGGGTATTACCCACGCGATGATTCCCTTACTGCTGCTGTGTTTGCGAAATCTATGTATTAAGTGAAAATGTACCTTTAATTGAGCATAAAATGCCCTTAAATATATAATGAGTGGTAAGTTTGTTTGTCCAAAATGTAATAAAGGTTACACAAAAGGTGGCTTAATTTCCCATTTGCGTAGGAAAGTCCCA